CTGCTTGTCCTAAGGTGTAAGGGATGGAGGAGGCACATGGAAGCCCAGTTGAGTGAGCTAGAATGAATTTGCAACCCAAGGTATTTTTTTCCCCCAAGAGCTCCTGCGTTCATATATCAAGTCCTAAAATAATCATACCACACAGTCCACACAGTAAATCAAGAACCCCCAGAGGACTCCAAACTCCTGTTTCTTAGCTGGAGTCAGCTGCGGCAATCTATTCATTCTTTTTCATGATCTTATGAAAGACATTTATAGCGAGTCACTACCCAGCTGATATCAGATTTTTCATCAGAGGTGCCAGGATTGACTGGCAATAAAATCAGCTCCAATCTGAAAGCTGTGGACATAGGGGTTTCAGTCACATGGTAACAACCTTAGGAATGAAGAAAATGGGTCAAATTGGAAACGGTGGCCTAATGCATGCATTTCAAATACTCTAAGAGTACTTAGAGTACTCTTAGAAGTACTTTTCAAGTAAAGTACTCTTTCAAGTACTCTAAGAGTTTTTGCAACTGCAGTTGTTCGTATCAGCAGCAACTTTGACCAACATAGCTGAGCAGTGTGTCTAATAGGAAAAAAATTGATTCATTAGAGCAAGAACATATGAATGTATAGGACTATTGGGCTCCCAGCTCAGTTAGAGACACTAGAGGGATTAACAATTATTATGTATCAAAGAGACTTCCACAGGAGATCAGGCAAATCTAAAGTCTTTCTTTTTTAGGAAATACTGGATAACTTTCCTCTTTGGAAAAGCCTTTCCTTTTTCAGAATGATACTCTCAATGACGCCCTAGTTGTACCCCAAAAAGCTTCAAATGACTCACCCTAAAATTACACTAAACACATTTACTTAAAAATGCAAATAGATAAATAAAAACAAAAGCACCCAAAACAAAACCACTGATCCACAAGCCCAACTCCTACAAGATAATGTAGTCCAAAAAAAGGAAGATGTCAAAGATGCCATGACCTCCATTAGGGACTTCCCTGTTCCTATCAATTCTTATCCAGAAAGTGATCAGTTAGCAGTACAAAACCTTGAGACAAACAGATGTAAAACTTCTATCTCCATCCCAAACTAAATGCCAATAGTGCTATGATCTGTTTCTTTCTGAAAGCCTTCTGTTATGGAGCAGATGATACCCGTTTCAGTTCATTTTTAATACAGTAGCCTATAAATTAGTAGCATGCCTCTTTTTTGGCAGATGCTGCTTTTGTTAGTTATTTTCCTGAGGAAGAGAGGGGAAGGAAGGAATTGCGATAGTTGCAGGGATTGCAATATTTGAGACATGCTCTAGTAGAGCCATCTGCAGCATCTGTTACCCCATACAGTTCTTTATTCTGCTTAATATTAATTGTGTTCTTCACTATTTCTGTGAATATTAAACCAGGGACTTCGGAAATAGTAAATTTTGAAGGCTTAGTTATCTTCTTCATTTCACTTTTAACTCTTCAGTTTTCAGGTAACCATGCAGGAAGAGGAGAGTAGAATGGGCCATCTCCTCTGACTAGATGAGCATTAATAAACTATTTCCAGAACCCCTTTTATATACTTAGCAGCCATAACTTATTCATATTTTTAATTACTCTATGTTCATATGTCTTTACATGGCAGTAGGTTTGTTACATAGCATCCCAGCGTTGTCTGATTTTTTTTATTATATAGCTTAGCTATATCTTAATAGGGTTCTTAGCTTCTCTCTCTGGACATGTCTACATATGCAATTAATGCCCAGAAAGCTTACTGTGAAGTAAAATACTGCACAGTAAGCTTTCTCCAGCAGGGCATCTACACTTGCTCCCATTGGGATCAGTTCAGGGCAGGGCTACTTCACCCTGCTGTGTCTACAGCAGCCAGGAAGAGCTCCAGGCTGGTGCCTTGGGTTGGCAGGGGGCATCAGAGTCAGGCTCTTGTCTCCCAGGGAGTTAGGGGAAGCTGTCCCACCTCCAGGGCACCTGCCTCCCAGCCCTGTGCCTGGTCTGCGGATCGGGGCAGGGGACTGGGAAAGAGTGTGCTCCCCACAGATCTTTCCCACTGCCTTGCCCTGATTGGCCAACTGGGGCAGGGGGCTGGAAAAGAGCTGCAGGGGAGGGGACTCTTTCCCAACCTCCTGCCCTGGTCAGCTGGTGGGGCAGCTAGCAGCGAGTCCGGGAGCCCCTGGCTGGGTGGGGAATCTCTGCCCAGCCAGTGGGGGCTGGGAGCTGTCCCACCAATGAAGCAGCTAGTATTTACAGGTAGCTAGCTAGTATTTACAGATATTAGCTAACTGCACAGTGGACTAATATACTGAGTAGTAGCCTTTGTAAGCACAATTACATGGTGATGCTTTACTGCCCTGTAGATTAGTCTACTGCATAGTAAAGCATTGCATGTAGACACACCTCTGTGTAAAAAATGTTCGTGCAAATGATTATTTTCTAGATTTGTTAGGAAAGCTTCACAGAAGGGTCACTTTTTTCTTTTCATGAAGTCTGCATTCAGTATGACTGATAGTGGTTTATACTGTAAATGTAAGAGGAAAATTTTGGTTGAATATATCACAGGACCAGAATTTTTTAACACTGAATCCTTTCTTCCTCTCTGTCATACCAATACACAAACTAAAACACTTCCCACCCTAACTTCCCATCAAATACAAAGGTGGAACAGAGGTTAAATAAAGGATTGTTGTATGTGCTAGGAAGACATAGTACATTTTCTCAACTTTCGGTGCCTCACAGTTGTTCATTTGGAATTTTCCAACATAAGAGAAAATATCTTATCTAATTAGACAAATCAATACAGTGTAATAAAATAAGTAAGAAAATTTACATTACTGGAAAAGATGTGCCTGTGGAACAACAGCATTCTGTTTCCACAGGCCACAGGTAAAGTTCCCATTCATCTCCAGTCTCATTATGCCTGAAATTGTGAGAATGAGGAATGCCCACAGGCAAAGAAAGATACTATATTTTAAATCTGATTATGAAAACATGGTCTTCTTTATTTCTATGGAAATCCTTTGCTCATTACTGGGAAGATTTTCATATGAATTAGTTCACTGTCACATTCATAATACTGCAGAAATATTTCATGTCCCACAAATCCCACTCTTGAAGATATGAAGAATATGGTATGATCAGGAAGAGGTGGTTTGATAACCTCTTAATGAAATCATCAAAGTACCATAGAAATATTCTCCCTTCCTTATTCTCAAGAACTCATTTGCTCAAGGTAGAGTCAAAATAGCCTTTAGAGGTGGTTTTCTTTATGTAGAAACAACATTCTTGCAGCTAACTTTATGAGGACAAATTAAAAAGGTAGCTATGTATAAGCTCTTAAATGTATTGCCATTAATCTTAATAAGCTCCTAAAATGTATTGCCATTATAAGGAAGCTCCTGAAAACTGCTGTATCTTTTTTTTCTAGTTCAGGGCTAAATAACTGGTGGGCCATGGGCCACATATGGCCTACAAAGTGTTGAACTGCAGCTGATGTGCTTCCTCCCCCGCTCCACATTGCTCTGGCTGCAACAGCAGCTGGAGTCTCCATGTCTCCCCTCCTTCCTCCAACTGCTACTTTCAGCCCTTGTTTCTGTCCCAGGGATGTAGCAGGAGGACTCTGGAGCCATGTGGCTGTGTTGTGCAGCATGGGATCACTACTGCACAGAGGTGGTGGTGGGGAGACGTGCAGTGAGGGTGGGCACCCTGTGCAGCAGTTGGGGCATTGCCCACATGGATGCATAGTGCAGAGGAAATGCATAGTGGAGGGGAAAGGTGTCTCCGTGGCCTGCAGCCTGTAGGTCTGTGGCTTGCCTGTGGTGTGTGGTACTTGCTGGTATGGTCTGCGGGGCAAGCAGTTCCTGGCTGCTTATAAGGGAATGCTTCAGTACTGGTTAACAAGTAGCCGGAATGGGAGAGGGAAAGAAAATAAAACTCTGTACAGATGTACTTGCTATGTATCCCAGCCAGCTTTGCTAGAGTTCTGGATCCACACATGTTCTTGGCATAGAACTTTGGTTTAAAGGACATGGGATCTACCTGTTGGACCCATGCAGATCCTGAGAATGAGGGAGATTTAAAAACCTTTGCAGATTTCTTTCTAGCAAGAGAGATGGGGAGACTATTCACTCTCTGATTTTTAAGGTTTATTAACAATTCACTTAATGAGCATTATTCATGGATCTGAAATGACATAAAAATCCTATCCAGGAAGGCAGGCAAAAGAGGAGAACAGTTGCATAATACAGCTTTCAACATATTTTAAACTTCTTCCGCTTATAAATTATATAGTGCTTGGCAAATCCTGACTCATTTGCAGACAATGCCATTGACTTCAGCTTGCATCGACTTCAAAGGAACCAGGATTAAGTTTGAAAGAGGTATTTTTCAGGAAAAACACTGTATTACACCGTTTGCGTAAACATAACAAAAAACTTATCTGCAACTCTGTTAATAACCATCTTTTTATTAGAGCAAATACAGTTGTGAAAACTGTACATTATACATTTTGGGTTCAAGAATTATAAATAGAGGAACTCTGTAGATAAAGAGTTAATTCTTTCACAGCAAGAAACTTTAGAGACAAAGTGACATAATTAAGTACATTGGCAGGCTTCATGTGTTGTCCAAAATGTAGTGTACAGTATAACAATCAATTATAAATAGCCTTTCATGTAAAATACAGCTGTGCACATTTTAGAAAAATACCAACAAATTGTTTTGAGCTTTGTTTTTTAAAAAAGCTTATAAATCGTACATATTTATAAATGGTACTATGTGCTTACTTAAATTTATAAACATTTTCATGAGTTGTGTTACCCATTCTCTCGAGCATAAAGAATTTTAAATAAATATTTAATAAGAATTAAATATGTCAGTTAGAAAATTAGCTCCTTTGGGAGGAGATGTGTGGTGGGCTGGGGTGGAAGGAACACTTATCCATTAATCAAAGCTTACGCAATTACTTTTAAAAATTTGTTCTAATTTTAAAAATCACTTTCCTAAATTTAAAGTAAAGCACAATTTTCTTTTATCCTTTAAAAAATAAATATACAAATTATTTTCATTTGCTCTCTTTCTGCTTTCTTCTTTATTCCACACTGGTCAAAACACAGGATTCTCAACATACTTCTGCAAAAAACACCACTGTGTTACTGCCCTGCTTTAAGCTGTTTCAAGGCTACACAATATTCAGTCCACACCTACGTTACTTTGTGCTGCATCAAAAGATAGCTAATGTAGTCATTAAGTAACTTCTCAATTAAACCATGCAAACAATTATAAAGTTTACAAACAGATTCAAAAACTATAAAATATGAAATCTTTTCTAACAGAGATAAAATAAACCATATTCCATCCAAGCCCTTTGCTTTTTATGTTTTAAATTAAAATATTTACTTTCAAACTACCACACCACATACAGTTTCTTTAAGTAAATAAGCATGCTTTTGAGTCATATAGGGTACAATAATTACAGTGTAATGGCACATAAAAGAAACATGATCATATCATTGTAACAAAGGACTCTAAAACTACTTAAGACAAACGATCCAAATGAATTACTGAGGCTTTAATTTCTTTTTTCTGAGGTAAAATTATGGATGGACTTTAAAGACACTGAAGGCATCAGATTGATAACAATCATTTTAATAGATCTAAATGCTCTACCTGAATGTATTCAACACACAGCTAGTATTTTAAAATTCTGATAATTTACGCATGTTAACTAGCTTAACTTTCATTGGCATTAATGTGCACTCAGATGAGACTAACTGCTGGCAAAGTATCTCAGTGTTGAAACAGAATTATTCAAATCACCAATTACCACAACACCAGAGTCAGAAAAAACACCATGCAAAACTTGTATCTTTGATATTCCACCTTCCTTTTTTAATGTACTGATAACTGCCTGAAGATTCTCCCTTTGTCTCTTAAATAATTTTGCTTGGTATTGACGCAAGCATTTGAGCATGTTTAGGAAGATATAAACAGCAGCTTAAAATTTTATCATTACCATATATTACCTACAAAAACTTAAAGTAAAAAGACTTTATAGGCTTAGGAAAATGAGTTTCAAGAATTATACCTTCAAATAAAAAAATATATGTTTACTATAACTCTATCTTCTGCTTCTGCTGCTAGGTGTAACTAGTAAATGTTTCCAGGCTGGACTATGTACTATGTCATGGCTATACATCAGGTTTAATAAACAACGAATGAACAGAATCATGCGCAAGCAAATGAAATTCAATCTCCCAGAACATTGCAGGAGATGTTAAAAGCAGCAGGTAATGGAATAAGACTGGTGAGTGATGCTGCTAACTATTTCTTCTAATGAGATAGGAGTGAACGCTGGAATCACTTCCACAGCAACAGAATCCTCTGACCACATTCCTCTGGCAGTCGTTTTCCCATCTCCCCACTAAAAACATCAGACGGTAAAATAGTAAGGCAGCTGTTAGCTTCCATCAACAAAAAGTGCAGCTCCGTACATTTCCAGTTTAGTCACACTGCTGGAACAGATGGAGTAGCCAACGTGCTTCACCGGCTGGGCTGCTTCAGCGGATTTGTTGTGCTTGTTTTCCAACGTGGCTGCTTGCTTCAACTTTCAGAGGACCCCAGAGCCACAGATCATCAGCAGCGAGACTGATCGGGCCCCTGGCTGAATTTTCCAAGTTTCATCTCTCTTGCGTCTCATCCTAATTGCAAGCCTCCTTCCCTGTGTCTGAGTATGACTGGTGCCATTTAAAAGGCTGATGACACAACTGCAGAGAATTGTGGGCTAACACCACTAGTTGTCATGACTTCACTGAAGGGTCAAAACAGTTACATCGTTAAATAACTATGTTGAATCACATTCAGGCATAGCTAAAATTAAAGTGGGAAATATTAAAAGTTTGCAAATAAATCTTTATAATTTGAACGGGCTGTTTTTAAACTGAGGTGGATTACAGTGATCTTAAATGAAAACAAAACTTTTCTTACCTTTCCTAATTCCAATCAAGTTAGAAAATGGACAAAAAGAATGGCTAAACCAATATTCAACAGCATTACCAGGGCAATCATGACTGAGTTAGGACCCTGAAAATAAAATAAAATGGATTCTGATTACATTTTTTTAACAAACATGTCAAACGAACCTAATGTAGCCCTGAACAAAGTGCAGGCTCTACAAGAACTGACAATAGCAAACATGTATTGATCCTGTCTTGACCATTTCACCTTCCTTTGGAAGATTAATTACATTTAAAGGTACAAATTCTGCTCTTGATAAACAAAACACTTAAACTCATTATTTCTGGCATTCAGTTGTGCTAAATACCATCTGTGTGCAAAATGCAAGGGACGCAGTAAAAGCAGGTGAGATTAAATGTGGTGTCACACTGGTTTAATCAAGTCAGGATTAAGTTGTTTTTCTGGAAAATGTGATTGTACAAATGAAAGCAAAATATTGCAGATAAAAACTATGCCAGGTTTTTATCACAAAATTCAAACCCGCAATCTTAGGGTTAAGAATTAGAGCATAGCATTTCTTCCCTTGTTTATGCTTCTTCACAGAGTCCAGTCTCTCTCTAATGTGAGAAATATAATTGTGAATAATGTAAAACCAGATACTGGAATGGTGTTTTTCTTGGAATTCCTCCTTTTTCCTTTTCTTCCACAAGAAATATGACCAACAAAAAGATATCAAATAGCTGCTAGTAAAATAATATCCCCCAGAAATCTTTCAGTAAAGCCTTAAATTGTAATTTAAACATCTGCAGAATTACAAACCTGCTTTTGCTCTTACTGAAGTTAATGGTACAATTCTCTCATTTTATAAATGGAAGCAGTTAGTTTTGTGGAGAAAGATGGATGTCGAAACAGAAGGTACTAGCTAAATTTCTAAAGTATTAGAAAGCTGGTTCTTAATTGTTCTCTAGTGTCCCAACCTTTATATGAAACGGATAACAAAAGTTCCAGTCCAGCTATGTACAGCTTCTTCTAAGCAATGTCCTAATGGTCTCTCTTATAGTAATGTTCATTTATGAATAATTTGGAATTTATACTTGGCAGAAGGTGATCCTTTTATTTCTGGTTTCTCCTTCTAAAACATTTGGTTGCTTATGAGCAGGGATCCCGGTTTTCCCTGATAATCCTTCCCCCCCCAATCCTCTGATAAATAAAATTGCAAATTCTCTGATTAAAAAACCCAAAATCCATGATAAAAATTAAAGGCACCTCACTCCCCCCCACAGCCTCTGCAGTCCTGCTCGTGCCGCTTACACACACGAGCTTATACAAACCAGTGTGACACTACCTGTGTGTTGCCCAAAACAGCCCCCAGCCCCCCCCACACATACCCCACCCCAGCTGGGCGGGGGTAAGCGGCTTGCAGAGGGACACTGTTGGCCTCGCACCCCCATCTTGCGCCTCCTGCACCGCTTGCCCAGAGCAGGGGTGAGGGCAGTGGTGCCCCACTGTGGGCCTCACATGCCTGCCTGGCCGGTGGAAAGGGGCGGGCTCGCACATGGCGGCCGCCACCGCAGTATCGCACTGTGCGTCCTGTGCTTTCCTG